GGCTCAGTGTGGATAGGGAAGCTGGGACTGCTACGAGTGGGGGTTTTAGTGTTGGCCAGATGTCGATGCGGACAGGGATATCTTTTCCGAGGTCGGCCTCGGCGCCATCCCCACCTTCACCCCCCAGCGCAACTGCACCCGCGAATGCACCCATAGCTGCACCCGCAAAACAAGCACAAGCACCCGCAGCACAGGCACAAGCACAAATGGCTCGTGTTGCATCCCCCACACCTACACCACATATCGCCCGGGTCTCATCCCCCATGGCACGTATCGCGTCCCCGACGCCGTCGTTTCTCCCTTCCTACAAGTATACACCTCGCGCAGCAGGATATGATGGAATGTTTGGATGGACATGTAAGGAGTGATTCATATGGACATGTTAGAAGTGAGTCATGCGGACATGTTGTGGGATCGGGGACCGGTGTGGGAGGATCGGTGCTGCGGTATCTCGTTGAACGTGATGAGGAGGGGAAGTGAGCGTCACGAGCATGTGGAGGCAGAGGCATCTACAGCAATGGTGAACGAGGATGGACACGGACACGGTGTACTGCGTCTGCAAAAACCGCCTGTTGGTCTAAGCGTTAGGTTGAAGATGAGAATGCAAACGAAGGCGAATCTCAACGTCGACGTCGCGCAGTCCCCAACAGTCCCCGAATACCCTTACACGTTCCCACGAGTCCCTCCGAGTCCTTCGTGTCCTGCTTCTAATCCTCCTGCGGCGTGGGCTGGGGGAGCCATGAGCATCGTGCAGACGATGGACGGGAATGGACACCTTCAAGCTCATATCCATGATCATGACACCGGGAAGGATCCTACTATTGCCCAGAACGATGACAATACCCATGGCGACGGAGGTGGTGGTGGAATGAACATGAAGGAAAGCATGGAGTCTGCACAGAAACCTCCCCGATCGCCGTTGTTTGATGCTGGGGATCCGTTTAGAAGGGAAGGACGTGGGCCACAGACGCAGACCCAAATACGGGCACGGATGCGCACCTGCAAGTATTACCACGACGCCGTCTAGGGGCTTGGGGGGTAGATCAATACCGATACCTACTGCCTCTTGTATGCAACAGTTTCCCGTGTCTGGGTCTGGGTCTGCTGGGGCGGTTGTTAATCCGGCTATGAGGCAGACGAGTCTCCCGAGTGCGAGTTCTGCTGGTCTGGGTACAGGTGTGTTAAATAATTCTTTAGATTAAATCAGTCTCAGTCTTAACTCCCAAACCCGATGACAACTCTGATCTCATTCATTTATTATCCACAGACCCAAATGAGACGGCCCGCGCGAAAGGGGTCACGATGCGCACGCTTTCTGCGGGATCGCAGAGTCCTGGGGGGTTGAAGGCGTTGTTGCTGGGAATCGGATGGGTGGTGGTTCTGGTGCGGGTGCAGGTGCGGTGGGGACGGGCGGCGCAGGTGGTGGAAGCGCGATTGCACCAAACGGACAGCTAAACACCTCAATACGTGCTAGGTCCGGCTCGGCCTCTGCGCCTAACACGCCAACGATACGTACCATCTCTAACGGCTCTACGTAGATTAGCATTTTGCCTTCGCCTTCTGGGCCTGGAAGGGTGCTTCCGGCGCCTGCACCACGGCCACCTTCGAAGGCGCTTCCGCCCTTGCCTCATCTTAGGGCAAGTGTTGTTGGTGGGGGTGGGAGTGGCAACGCGAGCGGTGAGACACTGAAGAGTACCGGGTCCGTCTCGTCGTTGGGGAGTACGTCGATGGACTGTTCTTAATTATACGATAGGCGGAGAGGCTTGTAAAGGGGATGGAAGGACATGTATGTTTTCTGTCTAGATCAAGTGAATGAGTTGCCTAAACGCCAATTAGGATTGAAAAGGGTGTTCGTGATGGTTTGAAAGTGTTTGATTGCTGTTTGAAAAGATCTTTGCAGTTTAAAAAGCTCTGGGTCATGATTCGAAACCTCTTGATCGCCATTCAAAAACTTGTTTGTCGCCGTTCAAAAATGTCTTGGCCGTTGAAAAACTTGTTGGTCGTGATTCAGAAAGGTCTTTATCGCCATTCATAAATATGATTACTATTGCATGATTCAAGGAGGGTGAACGGCCCGGTTTAAAGGGAGGGAAGAAACGCGGGATATACCGTGCAAGCACAGCACCGAGGCTATATCTTGACACCGGGTACGTCCACCAACACCAGAGAACTGGCCACCTGCGGTAAATTTACGGGAATGCACTGAAATTGCCGTATTATGCGGTGACAGCTTGTCAAACTATTCATAGGTGCCATGTGTTGGGGGCGTGGCCGATCTCATGAGGGGGGAAGTAATGAATTTAGAAAATAGTAAAGAGAATTGAGAGTATCCCAGAGTCTGTATTATTGAAGGAGGGTGAGTGGGCTTCCAAGTTATTTAAAAGGAAGGGATGAAACGTTGGGTATGCTATATAAAGCACCGCCACATTGATATACCTGGAAATTCACTCCTCTGATGATTGCACCTTAAAAAGGGCAGCATCCCCTTCCGATATTACAATAACCTGCCACCCCCTCCCCCCCTGGAGCTGTAGCGAACATCGACCTGGTTTATGTTATCTAGCACCCAAAGACAACCAACACATAGCACTGTCTGAAGAAGACGTGAATGTTTGGGTGGAGGAATTGGTGCGCAAAAGGAAATATCCTTTCCACGTCTATTGTTGACAAACCTCATGTTTTCAGTTTCGAACATGTTTTCACTCAAAAAGAGAGACAAACTACGATAACCCACCAAGTATTATTCAGATACGAGGAAGATCCACTAACACGACAACGAACTTCAGTCCATATCGCGGCGACAACATCGACTGGGGAGCGGGCTCACTTGCTGATACCTCCTCTTCAAGTATTGAAATTGGCCCAGGGTATTGCTGTAGAGTCGGTTTGGAAACATTTGGGATGAAAGTGGTTCACCACGGAAAGAAAGTTTCGCTGATGGTAAAGTTAATGATATACGAGGAAATAGCAGGTGGGTATGGAACATACAAGGCCTTTAACAAGTTAGTGCAGAACTTTATTACCCTGGCAAGACTGGGAATAATAATTCAAGAGACCATCGATTTGATGAGGTAGGGATACAACAGCGTCAAGCATTGAATACGCTCAAAACACTCACGTCTTTCTAGACCCACTTATTCCCCTCGAATTCGAGAACAGGCGTCAATAGTCTTAGACGGGTTCTATGATTCACGTGTTATCCAGAAGAGAAACGAAGGACCGACTGCCGAGCTTATGGCATCTTTGGGTTATATCTTCCTCCGGTGTCTCGGCGCTCGATGGTCAGATAAGGATCGGCCAGCAATTGCAATTACGCCATCGCTTTACAATGCTGTCATCAAATCACCGCTACACACCAACCTGTTTGAGGTCGCATCGACGTTCATTCTACAAATCGCCGGATATTTATTATCCTCATGCAACCCACCTTCCGACCTCTTCAGCGACCTTGTTGAAATTGTGGAAAGGACCTGCCACGTCCGTCAACTGTCCGTAGAAGAGCTCACTGCGATCAGAGGTTACTTTGAATTCTGGGTACAACCGTGCGTCGCGCCATTGTATCATTTCATTCTGCATACTAAAAACCACGACAGACAAAATTACTCACACCGGCTTTCCTTGTATTTAAACCCTATAGAGCTTCTCGTGTGTTGCATCCACCAAGATGTCCGGTTTCGAGATATTGCTGGAGATGTATTGAAAATTCTAGTGGACGACACAAACCGCCACATTACGTCCTTGACACTTGATTATATCGATGGGGATACATCGCATTCACTGTGGCGTGATATCGACGCCCTAGAAGCCTTCTTCGACGACAGCACGCTTCGCACAGATCATATCAACAAGCTGAATGTTGTTTCTTCGCTCATTGAGCCGCTCCTATGGTATGTGAGAATGTTTTACCTCCAGCGTCATCTCATATCCACTCATGAAATATCCTACCAGTCTGATTATGGCCCACACGAGTCCAGCGTTGCAGCTCCTCTCTTCAGGCAAACGGAGGTCATTCTGAAACTGATGGCTGGATCTTCCGACATCGAATCCGCGTGTACCACAGTCCGCAGTCTCAATATAATCGCCATTCTCCCTCGCCTTCTTCTACATTGTGTTGTAATGCGCCGCTCAAACAACGATCAATCCCACGGTTACTGGTGGAAACAATTAGAACTCATGCATGACATGGCTCATTCTTTACTTTGCACCATCGCCACCCCTTTCACCGGTGTGTGCGTAACATCTAATTCAGACGCCAGATCAGTGTTGGAGGACTATCCCCACTGGGCCGATGCTCTTGTTCCATCCATTTCGCCCCATTTATCGTAATTTCTGTTGGATAACGCCGACACATTATCCGACCCAGGAGGAAGGATAGTACTATTACTCTTTACTTAACTCCCCTTTTGGAAAATATTTCTCATTTATGTAAAGCTACATAGTTTGAACCAATTCAAGAGCGCATATAGCCGCTTTTTACCGCCTTAATTCTGAGAATATAGCAATGCGGCTTTCAGACCCTCCCATGACGTATAATGTTGTAAGGGAGGCTACATGGTGGTTCTACAAAGGAGGCACCAACAGATGTGAGCTTAGGGGTTCATACTGGACTCGCGGCACTAATTCGCTCCGAACACAAGAATCTTGAAAAAAGTACAAAGTGAACGGTCAACTGGCGTGACAAACTCGGATACGATACACAATCACTATAGTGGTAGAGAATGGTTACTACGACAAAGCTTGCGAAATCACCGGGGACAATGGAGTGGCAGGCTTCGAAGGGACCGACAAGTTAGGAGGAACAGAGCACGTAAAAACACATCGAGTATGCTGAATCTTCCTTGACAGTATCGAGTATAACAGACAAGTCCTTGATACAACAACGATAACCCTATCCTGTCTGCTACCACCGAGTGAGGTTGATACAACAACCATTCATATATATCTGGTTCAATTGGCACTCTTGGTAGGAAGGAGCCCGTGATTTAACAGGATAAAAATATAGCCTCATGCCGGAGTCGAACCCGCAGCCGTAAGTGGTCAGAAGCACTGTATGAGTCTCATGCTCTACCGATTGAGCTACCAAGGTATGATTGATGGGATCCACATCATAACACACACTGAGCTACGACACCACCATTGTGACCCTTCTGCTTTTGAATCTGCTATTTTTTCTCCCATTCCCGACTTATTTGTCATACTACATCTTAATTTGTTGTACCACTATATGACTATATGCAGCAACAAAAATATAAATTATAGGGCTAAGACAATACATTCTGGGATGCGAACTTTGAACTTCTTTATAGTTCTACAAATTCATGTCTAGCACTTAAAGGCTAGTCCCATAATTCTTAACCATATTTCACACACTTTTAGTCTTATTCTCCCCTGAGGTGGATGGTCTACATTTTCATAGAAGACTCCACAGTTTGTGTAGAAAGGTCCACCTTAGCCGGAAAGAAGGCTGGCAATTTAGCGAGGGTGGAGACATCTGGCAGTTTAGATGCCAGCCCCACATACATCCACATACCCACATATGCACACAACTTCTACCACCTCATCTCTCCTTTTTTTTTCTTGCCCCCACAAAAATATTAGAACTTAGCCAAATAAAAAAAATAAAAAATAAAAAATAAACCCTTTGGACTCTTTGGACTCTTCTATGAAAAAGGTGGACCCTCCACCTCAGGGGAGAATAAGACTAAAGTCACCGGACTCCGACCGGACTTCTGGAACCCCTCTAACTGAGCCCCGCTCCAGTTATGGTTAAATGATCTGTCATGATTCGTTCTCCACTCCCGTTCCGTTCCGTCCCTAATTCCCAGTTTAGTATTTACTTGTTTGGTTTTATGTTTAATAGTTCTGCCTCTCATTAATACCGGATTTGGTATTATTACATTTCACAGTCTATATAAGTCTGCTATGTTCATGTACTTAGAATCCAGTTTCAATCTCGAACTAGTTTTCCCCCGAACAAGTTTGATCCTTGAACAGTCTCTAGTCCTCTTGTCTGTCTGCACACTTGATTCCCGGAACTCCCACAGGAACTCCGGAATCTATACCTTCCTGTATGCATTCTGTCAGTTCGAAATATGGACACCCGAATGAGTGTATGAGGGTGCAGCCTATGAGCTGAAGCCAAGTCCATCTCAGTCGCTCACCAGACTTTCTGGTAATTATTCTGATATCACCATTCCTTGTACTAATAATCCCCGGAACTTTTCCGGGACCTATTACCCGGGGACTCTGTGGGACTATTCCCGGAAGCAAGTGTGTGTTTGGAATAGTTACCAGAAACCTCCACGGGACTATCCGTGGAGCTTTGTTCGGGAACTTAACAAGTGGCCCAACTGCAAGCTTCAGTTCATACTTTGCAAAGCAGAACTATTCTGATTTGGTTGCCACAGTCAGTGAGAATCTGTATTTTTCCAGTTGTCAGTGGGAATCTCTTTTTCTTGGTGGAAGTGTTATAGTCCAATTTTCTGATCCTACATACTTATAGTATATATATACACTATTCCTGCCCTTTTCCACACCCACTTCCTCCCATCTAACCCCAAACAATTGATTTTTGTCTCATCTGACCAAACAACCCTCTTCCAATCATCCACAGTCCAGTCTTTGTGTGCCAGAGTGTTATGACCGGAATTCCCACCGGACTCCGGGCACTAACTTATACGAACCCAGATCCTATGTGCACCAATTGTCAGTTTACTGGAATTCCTGCCAGACTCCGTACGTCAGACTTGTCCACATTTGACTTCGTTATGTCATGTATCAGTCACCGGACTACCCGCCAGACTCCGTCCCTATGTCTGACCCCATCCCACACATCAGTCACCAGACCCCACTCAGAAAACCTGTCATCCCCTTAACTGAGCCCCATTCCCATTTTAGTAAATGACCTGTCACAATTCGGACTCCACTCCCGCTCCATTTCCCATTATGGTTTATGACCTGTCACAATTCGGACTCCGCTCCATCCCGTTCCATTCCTAACACCAAATTTGGTGTTTACTTATCTCGTTTTATGTTTGCTAGTTTCATTTTCATTATTACTGGATTTGGTATGTTATTCATTCCACAGTCTATATAGTCTGGCAGATGTTGTACATACAATCCAGTCAGAAAATCAGCTTAGATTCTCCCCAGTAATCTAGTACATTTTCCACTCCAAACTCCTCTTTGAATTACACCACTCTTGCTAGTTAGAGTCCACGGGCTCTGATGCATCTATCTCTCAAACTCTGACTTATTTATCTTGACTCCCTAACCTCTCAACCCACAAACTCTGCCCAGACTCCCCAGTTTCCTGTCTGTCTGTTTGAAATTGGACAACACGATCTCGTGAAGGCACAGCCTATAAGCTGAAGCCAAGTCCTACCGGATTTCCTGTGGGTTTCTCTGGAAAACCACCATGTATGTACCCTTAACACAGAGCAAAGTCCATCCTTGCCTTTCTATGCCTTTTAGTGAGTAAAGACCTTTTTTCTTTTCACCACAGCCCTCATTCCAGCCTTCTTGAGTGCTTTATGAACAGTCTTCACTGAAATGGACTCTCCAGTCATATTTTGAAGGATTTTGGTGACCTCAATGGCATGTTCTGCCTTCTGAGAAGTGATTTGTTGGATGGAATAATGAATATCTGAGAGAGAACGCTTGCATGGATGGCCACCAGGTGCTTTGGCAAGTGATGGGTAATGGGTAAAGTGAATTCTGGATATAGTGGACAGGCCTCTGGAAGAAGGTGGTGTGGTCTTATGAGACAAAAATCAATAGGCTGGGGTCAGATGGCAGGATGTGGGTGTGGAAAAAGGCAGGGGAAGGCTTGAGTAACAGGCTGGTTGAGAGAACCCTGAAGTTTGGTGGTGCTATGCTTCTTAGAAAGAAGAAGCCTTTTCTTCTTTACCACAGCCTTCATCCCAGCTGCCTTGAGTCCACAATGCACTGTTTGAGGATGGAGTGCATGGTTGGTGACAGCTCAAAGTGTCTTTGTTGCATCTACAGCTGTGTCAGCCTTCCCAGAGCTGATAAGGCATCATGCAAAACAGATATTGGCTGTAGAGAGTTTGGATGGGTGACCACCAGAGGCCTTAGAAAGGTGGGAATCATATTCACAGTGAAGTTTAGAGATAGTAGCATAGCCATAGCCAGTAGAAAGTGAAATATGTTTGGCAGAATAGCCAGCATTAAGTAGAGCAAGGATCTCATGCTGGGCAGCAAGTGAAAGGGGATTCATCATTGGAATTTGGAGAATCTTAGCTGTGAGAGCCCTTTGATATATACAGTGAGGGACAAAACCCTTCCAATGATTTTTAGTTGTGCAAAGATTCTTGAATAACTCAAGAACCACTGTAGCTACAGACCTGAAAGGTGTATGTTGTGAGGGGGGGTTGGGTATGCATGCAAGATTGATGGAAGGATAGATGGGGATGTCTACATACAGATTCTGGAGGATGACTTGCAAGCCAGCCTTAGTGACTATGAAATCTGCAGCTTCCAGCAGGATAATGCCCCCAAGCACACCTGCAAGAAGGCCCAGAATTGGTTCCAATAAATGGTTTCAGGGTTCTCTCAAGGCCAGCAGAATCTCCTGACCTGAATCCCATTGAACACTTATAGAATCACTTGAAGAGGGTATGAAAATGCACTCCAGGGGATGGACAAGTTTGGAAGAGGGTGGTGAAGGAATGGTACAAGATTGATGCAAAGGTGTGTCAGGATTTGATTGCAAATATGCATAGGAAAGTTTCAGATACATTAAAGGCAATGGGTGGCTATACCAAGCACTAAATACAAGTAATTTCCCACCTAACCTTGTCAGCAACAAAAGGTATCCAATGAACCTTCTCTATTAAAATATTCATATTGTTACCATTATAGATATTACATAATTCCATTATGTCATATCAAACTATGCATGATAGAGCATCTTGAAAATATTCTGGTGATTTTTACTATTTTATCTACTGAGGTATAAGGTATATAATTTGAAACTGCAAAACATTGGATACATTTTGTGAGTCACTGTAACAATAAAAAATTCCTATCCCCTGCCACTTATCCCTGACATTATCAGCAAGTTGAAGAAAGCCAAATACTTCACCAAGGTGGATGTCAGATGGAGTTATAACAATGTCAGGATAAAGAAGGGAGATGAATGGAAGGCAGTATTTAGGACCAATAGAGTGTTATTTGAACTATTGGTCATGTTCATTAGTCTCACCAACAGTCCTGCTACCTTTCAGACCATGATGAATGATCTGTTCATAGAACTGATTGATGGACAGGTTGGCATTGTCTACATAGATGATATCCTTATCTTCACAGAAGACACAGGGAAGCAGTCAAAAGTGTTCTGGAGATTTTGGAGAAAAATAAGTTATACTTACATGCAGAAAAATGTGAATTTAAAAAGAAAAAGATTGAATATCTTGGACTGATCATTTCACATGGCTGCATCTCCAAGGATCCAGTAAAGATAGAAGGTATTTCCAAATGGCTTGAACCTACTACTATAAAAGAGACACAGTTTTTCCTTGGCTTTATCAACTTTTATAGAAGGTTTATCCAGGACTTTGCAGGACTTGCCAGACCCCTTTATAACTTAATGAGGAAGGACACTGTGGGTATCAGCATTATCTCATAAGGTTCTCTTAGTTTTCTTTGAATTATTTAATATTTTCTTGAATTTATTGTATTTTTATTATATTCTATTGTGAAATATAAGGTCTAGTTCCTTTTAACTTCACATAATAATAGCATATATGAGCTCATATAATGCTCTTATATCTTAATTAATTAATTATAATTTTTAACTAATTATTTATATTTTATTTACTTAGTTATTGCTTTTCGGCACATTGCTTGTTCCAATGTGTGCAATTTTTGAAGTCATGTGACCTATTAGATAACCCTCCGACTGCGGGATATCATTCAGTCACGAGTGTGACTATAACAATTTACTCGAGTCATTATTTGATTCCGCCAACTCAGCATTTGCTTCTGTTCTGGGACCTCGGCCTTGAACCTGCCAAAGGTTGGAACCCTTGTCTCAGAGAGGGGGATCATGTGATAAATAAAGGG